CATACCGGTAATTATGTGCGAGATGACAACCAGAAGAAATCTGGTGGTAAGCCCAAAGTTGCCGCTTCGGGAATGTGGTATCATCCTAAGAAGAAGAAGCCTTTACCAGCTAACACTGTTAAGAAGTTCGAGGCAATCCTCTGTAATCTATCTCAAATTAATGAAGCTGCTTTTATTCAACATGATATGGACATAAAAGCGGTTAGTTCTTCTATGCCTTACAATAATTTTTTTTTACATTACTTACAATATGATTATAAATTGTTCTTATATTTACAGGCTCCTAGATTCTATGAAGTAGTGAAATATCCAATGTGTCTCCATGACATCTCGACGAAACTGAAAAACTCTTCTTACAATGAGTACGATCAGGTCGTACAAGATTTCAGACGAATTTTCAACAATGTGCGACTGTATCTGAAGGTAAATGAAAAATCGATTAAATGTAAAATATAAATCTCTGCAGTGAAGAATTCGCGAATTAATTTAAATTATTAATTTGCAGAGCTATCCAGATCCGGCAATGAAAAAGAACGTGAATAAAATTTCCAATGATTTCGAGAAAATGTTGAACGAAGAGTTTCAAACCAAGTGGGAATCAAAGTCGAAGTCGCAAGATGTCGTCGATTGCCAAGACAATACTAATAAAAAGGATGAAAAGGATTCTGACACCAACACCACTGAAGCCAAGAGCGAGGACAATAAAAAAAACGATACTAAAACGAGTGGAGATGATAAAAAGTGAAATAGCACATCATTACATACATCTTTTGGTGAGGCTCTGATAAAAATCTTCCTGTCACTAGGAAAAATTTCGCCATTTAAATTTTTCGAGTATTATTTTTTGTTTAAACATTTTTTTTATTTATATATTTATTTGTTTCAACGACGAGGTCGTCCAAACGATGGTTATTCTCATACAATATATGCGATCATCTGTCTAGTACGATTCTGAAACTGGTCGATGCTATGAATAGGTTTAAAATAAGCAACCTCTAGTCAAATAGAAAATTATTTTTTAAACAAATGTCAGTGACGTTATCAGAACTTATAATACATAAGATTATCAATTTAATGTGTAAGTGCTTGCCAGTTTTTTCGAATGGACTTTATTAGCTTCCGAACGGGACAAAACACTTGATTCGTTCTCTACTGTTTATGTCGTCTTCTTTCCTTGCACGATTAGTTTGTAATTTCGTTTTGTATATTTCGATTTTCTTATTTCTTCCATTGATTCCTTATGATAATAATCCGTATTGATTTTATGTGCAGAAAAACAAATTTATGTTTTGATGCGACGTCAGTTGTAATTTAGTTTTCTTTGTACCGCAATGTCCGTATAGCAATGTTCATGTCTTGCAACCTACACGTCGAATAGATATTAGTTCTTTTTTATATCTCTATCTGTGATGTATGTTTAGGTAAAAGTTGATAATTTGAATCGTTTTTCACGCTTAATTACTAGTTGTACGATTCTCTTGAAACATGTAAATAGCAAGGAGTAGATGTGTATAAAATTGAACTTAAAAGTTTAAGTTGTCTTGGAAACCTTGAGCCATGCCATTAATTAATAATTGTACATTAATTTTTACAAAAAAAATGCGTTAAATTAGTTCAGAAAAATGTCGTATCGAGTCGTAAGAAGTTCGGTACGTGGATAAATAAAAATAATGAAAACGTTATTTGAAAGGTTAGGATGGGACTTCTTACAAGTCGGCCATTTGCGAAAAAACTTAGTAGGTTCTGTCTTTATATTATATGTACGTGCAACAACATTTTTTAGTCTAATTTGTTTCGTTTGGTGTTCCACATTGGTATTTAAATGTTTTTTAAATAATTTTTGAGTCCATTTTACCTGCCATAGAAATAAGTGAATTGCTTACGACGTCAAGGTTCGGTCGTGCGTTTGGAGACAATTACAGGTTGTTGATGAAATTAAATTCTAAATTTTAAATTTGACGACGTTTGAGTTAATTTTAAGTATTCATTAAGTTGTGATTTTATTATTTAACTTATTTACCTAAAATTATGGCAAGGAACTCCTATGATAATAAAAGAGTTATTTTTTAATTTGGTTGTTTGATTTGTGTTTATTGAATACAATTTACAGTTCACTGTTATAAAAATGAAAAATATGCGATAAGTTTCGATTATCAGTTTTAATTTTAATTAACACTTAAATATCAGTAGGTAACAGTTAAGTATCAGCATAGATTACTAGATTATTTTTACATACATAACATATATATAATTTTGATAAACGCATACCCACGGTCGCCACCACCGGTAAAATGTATCACGCCGTATGTCGTAAACGGATTAACATGTTGCCAGTGACAAAATGACTAGGCATAATGTTTCTAGAATTTCGGTGACATTGCGAGCGCATCATGGATTTACTATGGAAGTAATCTGAATCACATTTTACGACCATACTGCATACGTTACTGCCAGCATACATAATGAGTTTGAATGACCATGCACAAGAAATCAAGTGCCAAACAATATTTAAGACTTTGACTGCCTATAAAAAACTGTTGGAAGATGAATCCTCCGATAACGCCGGTCACCGGTGACCCCCATGGCGTTTAACGTGTTAAACTTTAAAAAATAATGTTATATTTTATTAACTACTGGCTCGTTGGCTAAGTGGTCGCAAGTGCGAGTCAGTAAGAGTCTGACACTCCGTTTCGCCTCTACCCGGGCGGAAGAAGCCGAAGAAGAAGACGACGGCCCGCTTAAAAAAAAATTTGCATAATACTTTCGTAATCTGATTCATATTGTTTACTTACATTGCACAGTAAATAGTAACATCACCGAAATTCTAACAACAGTACGTTTAACCGCTGACTCACTCGTTTACGACATACGGATCATGCATTTTATATATTATTATCTATTTACTTATCAGGGTTTCATTGTTTACAATAATCACATATTTTTCTTATTTGCTAATATTGTCCTCATTGGTTGATTTCACAAGAGCCCAGTTTTCGATTCAGACAAAGAAATATTAAGATATTTACCGGTTTTCAACCGATTTAAAAAAAAAAGAGGGTGTCGGGTTGACATCTATGAATGTATGTAGGTATTTTTAAGGGGGGAAAATCATCGAATGACTGCGTCCGCCTGGGTGAGGCGGGAGGGGTTGTCAGACTCTTACTTTTGATTCGGTTTTCAGTGTTTATAACACCCAAAAGCATGTTTTAGGTTTTAGTATATTAATTAACCGGCTACAAAACCAGAGGGCGTTAAAGTCGGTTTTTTGAAACGTAGGTTATAAATGAATTAATCAATTCTCAATATTAGCATTGAGTCTGGAGTAGTGCCTGGTGTAATAAGCACACCCATATAACATAAGAAGGGTCATAGACTCATAACGTAATTTTCGTAAACATTGATTGTTAAATTGTATATGAGCATGAGCACCATCGGAGATACAAAGACGCAATGTTGTGTACAGATGCCGTAGTACAAATTTGTTTTACGCTTAAAGTAATCATAACGAGTACGCGTCCTGTGTCGTGGGTGCGTTTACAAACATACATGACACCCAGACCCTGAACAACAATCTGTGGATCACACACAGAGTCGTTCCGTTCCGCGGGATTCGAACCCGCTACACGTTGCGCGGCAGTCAGTTGCCCAACCACCGCGCCAACCGTGCAGTCTTTTGGTCTGAGTTCATGCCAATATTCGCATTCGAGTTCGCGAATGTCTACAATATGTCATCCTTATTTACTAGGTATATACTTATATACGGTTTTTCAAGATCAAGGGCTCGTACACAAAACTGCGATGCGACGTCGCATCGCAAAAATGTGCGAACTCCATCTACGCATCGCAAGAACTTGCGAATTGATTCGCATCGCGCATCAAAATCTGATCTTCCCGAAATCTTCTTTGTTTCTTTATCCTGTATCTCTTAAGCAGTAACAGAAGTGTACACTTCTGTTTACGATCCATGTCACGACCTAGTTTTCGATTTAAAATACGTTTAGTACGGTTGACGGTCGTCGAAGAAATGGTCACCCTGGGAGACGCCTTGTCGCACGAAATCACATCGCAGCAATTCACATCGTTATTTTTTGCGATGCGAATTCGCATCGCAATTTTGTGTACGAGTCCTATTAATACCTATTTTTACCTTTAATATCAGGAAACTTGACCGGGTTTTTTCATTACAGATATTTATGTTAAATGTGGTAGGTCATGTAAGTACATAACATACACTTAAGAGCAATACAAATATTTTATTATTGTTTAAAAAGGCAATTTAGTTACTTTTATAAAATGAGAGCATTTTGTTGAAAAAATAAATTTTTAAAGCTATAGATAAAATGAATAATTCTTTTTTAACCTTCGTTTTATACCTCCAACACTCTTATTTGAAGTTGGTTAATTATTATACTAAACCCTTCTCCAAAGTGTAACAAACACTATTATGAAAACTGCATCAAAATCCGTTCAGCCAATCGTGAGATAATCGCGAACATACATACATACAGGTCACACTGAGAATTAGAAAATGCGCTAGTGGCTCCGTTTTGTGCTCCCTAGTGTAGGTACACTTGTCGCGGAGAACCTAACGGGTAACCGGGGCTCCGGCTCGACGTGCAGGAGAAGGAACGGGGTTTTGCCAGTAACAGTCTGACACTCCCTCCTGCCTCACCCAGGCGGGAGCAGTCATTCGATGATCTTCCCCCTTAAAAAAAAAGTTTAGGTACACTTAGGTAGGTACCTATGTTACGTTGCATTAAGGGTCTGTTATTGACCATAGAAATGGTCGCTAGGTCACTGGTATCTTAAGTCGTGGCTATGTAAGAGTCCTAAACACACTTGCGTCACACTGGCCGCCAAAATTTGCTACCACAGTGTAGTACCTATAACATTAACTAAAGTCGTATATAAAGGAAAGTGGACTCATTCTTTGTCATACATTGTTTTACACAGTGCGTCTTCTTGTGTACAAGCGAACTCCTTTTTTGTGTTTTAAAAAAAGAAAATTGCAATAACTCATTCGTGTAATTGAAAATTTTCGTTGAAGTTTAACAATGTGAGTATGGTTTTTTAACTTACTTTTATCCCCGAAGGAGTAGGCAGAGGTCCACATTACGGTACTTAATGCCACTGTAGAATGTTACACCCACTTTTCACTATTTATGTTACGAGTCCCATGTAGTAGGGGGTGAGCCTATTGCTACTTACATACATAATCGTAGCAATTTGCGTTCCATTATGGTTTCTGTATACCCCCATGGGAGACAGGCTTGAAGTTATGTATGTATGTTACCTTTAGAATAAATTACATTTTTTTTTTAAAAAGAAGACGTTGATGATAAAGTTTTTTAATTTTTATAGTCATAAGAGAAAGTTTTAGTTTACTCTTTCTTTCTTCTAGATGTTCTGGAGTACACTTATCACGTTAGCATGTATGGCTGCGTACGCGCATGGTCACGGGAAAGTGATAGATCCTGTGAATAGAGCCTCATTGTGGCGTGTATTCTCTGATGAACCAGCTGACTTCAGTGATGCAGGCCTCAACTGCGGGGGCTTCGGACACCAGTGGAGGTTCAATAAGGGACGGTGAGTTAAATAACATGTTCTAGATTACGTACTTAATTTTTTTCTCCTTTTTTATATTTGATGGGCCGACGTTTGACCACTATCTCGCCTGGTGGTAAGCAATGATGCGGTCTACAATAGTCTCCTAACATTTTCCTATTGTCATTAAGATCTTTTCCCAGGTATTATTCCCAATTTAGCACTGTTCCTAATCTTAAGTCGTAGCTAGATCCCCCTATCAGTATTAACAATGGAAGGATGGCAATCTGCTTCTACAGCCTGATCAAAATCAACAACTGAAAATATAAGGCTTTTTCTGGTCTTTCTCCAGCTGTGCAGTTATATCTAAATCGTGACCTCTTCTCTGATGTCATGAACTTTACTAACTAACAAAAAAGATGCTATCATGAATATGACCCTCTTGCATGGCTTGAAACTAGTCGAGTTCCTCGTCAAATTACTACGCGAGTAAGCCGAAAACATAATAATTTATGCTATCAGCTATGTTAACTAATTCCCTTTTACATTCTTTCAGTTGTGGTGTTTGTGGAGATCCTTACGACAGTCCACAACCCCGAGCACATGAGTCTGGCGGCAAGTATGGACAAGGGCGCATCGTCGCCACATACCAACAGGGTGACGTCATCACTACTAAAATCGACCTTAGTGCCAGTCACCTGGGTTACTGGGAATTCAGACTATGCGTAGACCCTGAAGACAATACCCAAGAATGCTATGATAGACATGTTCTGGAGTTAATTGAAGGAGGGACCAAGTACTATCCTACGAAACCCGGGATTTACACTGTGGAATACCATCTGCCTTCGAATGTGGTCTGTGAGCACTGCGTGCTGCAGTGGAAGTACACGGCGGGTAACAACTGGGGCGTCTGCGCGGACGGCACGGGGGCCCTCGGCTGCGGGACCAGGAGAACTTCTTCTCCTGCTCAGATATCAGCATCAGACCTGACGATAATTACCTTTAATGATTACCAGAGATCTTTCTTCTTGTATGAAAGCTTCCGTGTGCTGTATCTTATTAAGTTAATAAATTATTTATTGGTGCCATTTATAAACATTGTTTTAATACGTACTAACTTAGAAAGTTATATGGTGTCAATACTCGGTATTAGCACAGTATAAAAAACTAAGGAAAGGCAAGGCGAAGTACGGAAAAATACGTGCAATTTAAGTACCAAATAATAACATGACATAACATAACATCACACAATCAACAATCCCCGAAGGGGTAGGCAGAGGTGCACGCAGAAGTAACACCCACTTTTCACTTTTTATGTTATGAGTCCCATGTAATAGGGGGTGAGCCTATTGCCAAATACCGGGCACATTTCCAGACTCCGTGCTACTACGAAGATTTTTTTTAAACACCCAGTAATAATTTGTCCGACCCGGGAATCGAAATCGAGACCCCTGCCCGTTAGTCGCACTTGCGACCACTCGGCCAACGAGGCAGTCCAAATACTGTAAGTATTAGTTAATAATAATAATCATCGATTTACTTTTGATTACAAAAAAATGGCTACTTATTAAAGATTTCGTTACGTAGTACCAACTTTAGTAGTGTTGTGTTTCGGTGAATAAACCATACGCATTTATTTAGATCAGCGAGCAGCTGCCGGATCACTTTCAATCATTTCAAATAGCAAATAGGGTGAATGTACCTGTTTATGGACAGAGTAACAAACGTATTTTTTACTTAGCGTCCATATTTAGTAATTATTTTTAAATCATTTATTAAATTATTTATATATAATTATTAAATTATTTTACCTCTAATAATCATTATAGTCGGTTGTTACCGATGTATCTTTTCTGAAGAGACATTGTGTGTTTTACTGGAATCCTACTATTATTATAGATGCAAAAGTTTGTATGTTTATTTATTTGTTTATTACTCCTTTACATCATTAGTCACGTATTTTTTATTTTCTCGTATAAAGTTACAATACTTAGATAAAATGGAGTTAAGTTTAGAAGTGGGAGGTCGTTACGTCACTAAATGCTACAAAATATAGCACGTTGTGACGTCACGCAAACGGCTGAAGGTATCGGGATGAAATTTGTAACAGACACAGATTATGATCTGGACATAACACATAGACTAGTTTTATCTTACGAGAAAGCGGGGTAAGTTACTATTTCTAAATATATTTCAATGCTCAGTCCTACTCATAAGTTGATGACTAGGATTATGTTATCCATTAATAATTATAATAGTCTTATAGATAACTTACATTATAGTCCATTATGTTAATAGCTTTAAAGATTAAAAAAATATATATTTGCATGCCATATGGTAGAATGTACCAGGAACGATATACCTTTGTAAGACCTTATATTATGTAGGTACCTATATTCAATGCAAATAAATTATTCTATTCTACCTCTTTTAATGTAATTTCTATCTATATTTATCTTTCGACCTCTTGAGTGCCTTAGATCTGAAATATAAATATAAATGAGTTTCCGTTCGTTAGTCTTGCTAAAACTCAAGAATAGCTGAACCGAATTGTATAATTTTTGTCTTAAAATGTTAATGGACATGAAAAGGTCAGAAAAAAATTCTAGGGCCGTACGAAGTTAGCCGGGTCACTAATAATATAATTTCTATTATCGAAATAAATAAAATCAAATAGTCGATTATAAGGCCAGCCACCTTGTTATGGAGATCGGTAACTGTTTTCTAGCCCTGCACAGAATATAAATAAGATAATCGCGGATAGGACGCGGACGCGATAATGTGCTTACCACAGGTGCTTACCATAGATATTTGACTATAAGTGAACCAAGTAGGTATTTACTTAAAAAATAATGGCGTAAAGTGACCCACTAGTGTAATTTTCTCTGGCATTGCTAGTATTATGTACCAAGACTCAAACGCCACTCAATACTAAGACACGCTTAAATATATATTTATACCTATTATAGCTTTCATGAGACATACTAAATTAATTTTTTTTTTCGGTTTACTCATGTAATTAGTTATTGCTACTGCTACGGACAGTAGCAGCGCGATAGTTGCCGCGTCGCGAGTCGCGGAATGCTGCTCATGAATATGAGCCTCTAGCATGCCTTGAAACTAGTCGAGTTCCTCGTCAAATAATTACGCGAGTAAGCCGAAAATCGTAATAATTAATTTAGCGCTTAAGTATAGTTGTGGCATTATAAAATATTTTAAAATGACAGAGATGGCACGATATACAAGTACAATTAGTTGAGCCTTTCAGTATTAGTTGAGTCTTATAAAACGTATGATTGTCTCTGTAACCTCTGGTATGTCGAAGTGTAAAGCTACGGGAGACACAATGCGTTTTCTATTGTGTCTCACGTAGCAACAAACAAGAGGATAATGAAGTGGTAGTATCTAGTACTATTCTGGAGCTGCAGACAAACTAACGGGTTACGGGGAGTCCAGCTCAAAACAAGAGTAGGAACAGGGTGGTTTTCAGTCAGTAAGAGTATGATACTCTCTCATAATCGTGAGGCGAAAGAGAGAGCATCAAAGACAAAGATTATTTATTTGAAAAACACGTGTGAAATAAATACATCATAGAATGCACATTATAAGTTGTACAGATGAGCAGTGAGCATAGTACACCATGTTTGACCATTTCTGGCGTACGTGGAATATAATGTTAAATCCAATAATAACAATAATTAAACTATTAAATTGTAACATTCCTATAAGAGACGTTGTGACTATGACTATGTCATTATACAATTTTCTGTCCTCAAAAAAAGTATCTATTTCTATTGATTTTCTGTCAAAAACTTAAGTTTAGGCCCGATCCCTCAATCATCAGTTAATTTTTAACTGTAGAATAAAATTGACATTTGTCTGTTTTTGGTACGAGAGAATTATCAAATATTCAAAGTTATTCCTCAGTTAAAAATTATATGGCGATGGCGTTGGAAAAGGCGGCCTTTATTTGATTAAGATAGATTTAAATTAAATATAATCGCGGGTTACTCACGTGAATATACTGAGAAAAGCTCTACTAGTATCGAACCACAGAGGGGTTCTTCCTCATGAGCAGCGTGCGCGGTCGTAGCGACGTCGCGCAGCTCATTTTTCTTTTTCACAGTATTTTATTTCACAATATTCACAGCTTTTCTCAGTATAACCCGCGATTTTATTTAATTTAGTATGTCTCACGATAGTTATTATAAGATAGATTTAGGGGAAAGTACCGTAACGTCGGACGGCACCTAACGCCGGACACTTGTATTATCTCGATAAGTGATTACACGACCGCTTTAATTTTTACTAAAAATCTTAGGTGTCTACCACTGGGAGACTTCCCCCTGAAAATTGAATCTCTCGCGTTATTAGTTATCGAGATAATACAACTGTCCGGCGTTAGGTGCCGTCCAGCGTTAAGGGACTTTCCCTTATTAATTTCAGTCATTACCTATACCCAGTATACCTTCTGTGCGTAACGAGTTGACGACATCATCAGATTTCCCTATAGGTCATATAGGTCAGGTTGCGATGGCCACCGTCAAAATTATAATTTTTCACACCATGACAAACTATACCAAGTTATATTTCACCATCTTGTTAAGGCATGATGGATCCACTAATTTCAAAAGAGTAACTAAAAGTCTACTTCGACCGTTAATTGCGGTAGACTTTTCTAGAGTCTGTGGATTAATATTTACTACATCTAAACCTTCGCTAAAAATAACTCTATCTACTTGTATAAAAAAACCTGTACGGTTGTCACTGGATTTCACAAAGTAATATAACATAACATCACGCCTTTTATTGAACCCGAGACCCCTTGGCCGACAGTCACACTTGCGACCACTCGGTCAACGAGGCAGTCAAAATATCCGGTAATTTTAGAATTTCGCATCAATACTTAATATACTGACGCTAAATAGAACTTTTTTATAAGTAGATAGTAAGATAGCTTTTTTATAAGTAAGTAGTAAGTAAGTGAATAGATAGTAAGGATAACTCCGCTACTATTTGAAAAAAAGGGAAACCACATTCAGTCAGTAAAAAGGATTAGTATAGTATTGTAACTTACGTTATTAACTGTTTATGACTCATCAGTGATCCTGTTAAACGTCTAATATTTCACAGAGCCACAAACTTTAATTATGACAGAATATTATTTCTGAACCCTATTATCTTTGCATAATGACGCATATGCGACAAAACAACAAAGAAAATAAAATATTCGCGGTTATGACAAAAAAACGAAGTATTGACTCACCAGGACACAATAGAACAAAGACCTTCTTGTACACCACAAAGTTAACCTCATTCCATTTTCAAATAAAAAAAAAACAAAGTTAAGTTAATTTTCCGCCACATTTCGCGTTATTTGCACAAATTGATGACAAATTGTAACGCGTAGTCCTACGGTTGCAGCTGTTTTAGGAGAAAGTAAAAGCAAATCTATTTGATTCGAAAGAGCGTTAAAAATTGGCGCCATTTTCCTTCAGTTAAACCGAGAGTGAACGCCGAGTGCGGTTATATTATCTGTCATCAAATTGTTACCGAATTAAAAAAAAAAACATTTTATTTTTATTGCGCGTAAAAATCTAATTATGATTTTTAATAATCTGTGGCAGTGATTTGCGCCCTTTTGTATAATTATTTGAGTGCAATGTTTTAGAAAAATAATATTCGTTGTTAAATGTAATTGTGCTAAAAATGCAACAACAATGATGATTTTTAAATATTTCTAAGTGCTGTGATAGAGGTGGTAGTTGCAGAGAAAATTGGATAAACTAATTTTATCTATGTGCAAACAGCAAACGTAAGTACCAACACGAACCATTTAATACTTAACTATTTATTTTAATGTATGAGAGAGCTATGTTTTAGCACAAATGGGCTGACTCGACCGAAGTAATATCACGGCCTCACAAAAAATTGACGTGAAACAACGCTTGCGTTGTGTTTCTTCGTGTAAATGAGGTTACCACCCTTCCTCAATCTCCCCAATCCCAGAATCCACACCAATACTGAAACTCCTAATCTCCAAAAGGCCGGTAAAACACATGTAACACCTTTGGTGTTTCGGGTATTCATGAACGGCGCTGATTTCTTACCACCCAATAGAAAAATAATATAACGAGAAACCCTCAGCAATACCCTATCATAG